CCAAAGGGGCGCATTCTTCGAGTCCAAAAACCACCTTCGACTTAGAGTGGCAAAGTGTGACCTCAGCCTAGGCTAACTCTGGGGAATAAGGAACATCTAGTCGTGCCATCGGACGCCCTTCCCCAACCTCAGTAACACCATACTTTCAACTGCGAACGGCAAAGGCACAGTCCATACTTTCCACAAAAAGAAGGTCTTCGCTGATGTGCAGCGGAAACCCTCCAGTTGCGACGACCACTAAGAATATTGTACAACTAGTTGACCAGGACACATTGCAGTACTGCATTTCACGCAAAGCTGCGCATCGAAGATGACGTCATTTTATGTATCAAGCTTTACTGGGAAAATATCAGAATAATGAAGACTATACGGATCAGAACAAGGCCCTATCAAAGCGTTTCTATGGAAGGTCATACCTGTTGCGATCGAAGAAGTGTTTCAACAGCCAAGAGATTGACTTAAGTATTGAATATGGGACCAATTTGGCATCGGCCGAACTGCAGACCTACTCATAGGATCTGTAAGAGTTGGAACAAATAATACTCCTGCGAGCAAATTCATTTCACAGCAAGTGAAGACAAGCGGGAATAACAATGATTAGGGACACCATAGGGGCTGCTTTTCAGTGCAAACTAAACAGGTGACTGGCCATGTCAAAATTGAAAGGTGTTCAGGATAGCACTCGATATAAGAGTTCCTCTGAGAATTTTTTCATCCATTCAAATGATGGAGCTATGGATTGTGGACACCAAGGCTAGACACAAACTCTCTTACTCCCTAAATTACGGTCACTTCACAGCAAACTGCAACAACTCACACCTTGTATTGTTTAATGTGCACCGCGGAGAGCGGGCTTGTAGACTCTCCGGACTCAAGTGTAAATCGCTGAAGGTGTGCTTACACACAAGTGACTCCCTTTCTCTGAAATCCAGAAGCGTAATTTGAACCTGTTCCAATATAATAACTGATGTTTACCGCCGCTTGTATTTAAACCCACACCTCACGCTTATCGGCAGGATGCGCTATCCTTTACGTTACCAGCGATGCCTGTTGCACTCTCAACTCAACAAGATGTTGTACACTAACCATAAACTCAAGGTGTCCTGACCCTAGCCATGTGCGAGGAAACCGATCTGCAGCTGTGGAAATGTGCCTATTTCGTCACTCGAAAACGCGCTGGAATGAGGCTGGAGGTAGGGATAGCTATATGCCATTTGGGAATCCACCCGCAGGAAAAGCATTCCATACTAACACCTATATGCCAGCCAAGCCAATTGCGCTTCTTGTCCGCGCTTAGCCTGGTTAGGATGAGCTGTTCATGTTAGATATCGGAGCGGTCTAAGACCTACCGTAAATACAACTTTTGGGTACAACAACTTTCTGATTTCGGAGGTCTAGTTATATAGACCGATCATTTCAGTTGTGGTGATCATTTCAGGTGTAGTTCAATTCAGTCAGCTTCCTTATAAACATTTCTGCCTACTCTACCGCCGTCTACACACACATTCACAACAGTTCACACAGCAGTTCTTCCCAACACCTGGCCGGCGTTGTGACCACTTGCCCTTGAAGTATTGTCCTTAATATTGTATGTGTTCCCGCTACGGATCACTGTGTGCAGCTTGGAATCGTTTAGTAAACGCCCCGATTTGCACTATCAGCCACAACCACGAGTGTATGAAAATTTGAGAGACTTTTATGGCTAGTCTTGACAGTGGAATTAGGTTGAACAGCGTGCAGGAAATGGTGGAAGAAAAAATGAAACTAAGGTGAAGAGACGAAACAAAGATGATCGCAGGATCGATCAATGGCGTCACAGCCATCAAGCCGGGTATTCGTAGATCATCAGATCGATTATTGCTGTAGTTTGTAGTCTCACTTCTTATAATACAAAGAAAAATCATCATGGAATATTCTTCAAGAAAAACCTTTGATCCTTTAATGTGGACAGCAGGATAATTGTTGTGGAATATCCACATCATAGTGAATGGGGCGTAATTGAAGTGGTAAAATTTCTTTGATTGTTGATCTCTTCAATTTTCCCGTTCCATGCAGGGCTCTATGTACCTCCTAGCTGCCACCAATATCGTTGCATTCGCACTTAGCTGTCATTGATGGTTCGAAATGCTTGACTTTTGACTCACCCTGCACCCCTCCAAGCTTGCAGCACAGGGCACAGCATTGGTTGGGGAATCCCCATGGGGGGGTCGTATTTGGCCGCCAGGAGAGGGGGGGTCGTAATGAGTGCGTAGCCAGTATCGAGCAGCGCAAAGGTGTCAATGTGCTGAGTCCGGTACAGCGAAGCTTACTTTGTAGAGAACTCGGATATTTGAAAAAAAGGACAAAACTTTGCATTGGCCATAAAAATTGCGAAATAACTGGAATTTAAATGAGTCGACATCATCTCGTAAGTCCGTTGATGACTAAACAGTAAACGCATACTCTGATTTGCTGCAGATGATGGGGCGTGTCCGCGATTGCGCTTGGGGCTGAGCCAGCCTATTTTTTTCGACAAGCGACACGACTACCATATCGTTCGTATCAGACGTTTTCCAGCAGTTGGTCTCCTTTATCGGAGACAGCAATTGGAGGAGCACAGATCGGGCGGCGTCGACACAGACACGCTCCATCATCCACAAGGGAAACACTGTAAACAAGTGCACAGCAGTTCGTCAATAAGACCTCCCTGAATACTATAGACACATTTGCTCGCGTGAACAGACATTACGCACAAGTTGCACCATCCCATCACTTCTGCGCGGACCTCAGTGCGCGGCGCATCCAAAGTCAGCGTGATCGGCGCTGAACGAACCATATCCTGCTCCTGCTCCACCACAGGATACGTTCTACATGCGTTCCTGGCTATTCGAACACGCTCACTTGGAACGGTACACAGGAAACGGGTTTTTCGCGCAGCTTGGAGTACTGCGCAAGAAATCCCCATAGCGAGATCTCATGAATCGCGAGAGCTTCAGAAACAGTTCAAGAGGTTTTTAGAAAGAGAAAATCTTTAGACACTCGGATCCGTTCTCAGATTTGTGAAATGTTGAGTTACAAAAAAAATATATTGATTCAAACCTGTTCAACTTAAACTTCAACCCTTCACTCCCCATGGAATCCCTATGGGCAGATTTCTCTGTGATTTTTGCGACCTTCATAAACGTTTCAGTACTTTTAGGAAGTGCAATCCTTCCTCTACACGAATACGGTCTCCTCTTCCCCACAGGTCCGCTTTTGAGGAAGTTATGGTCCTTCAAAGACACCCCACTTTGCTGAAAATTCTCGCTCCATGGCTAATTGACGAATGATTCCGGTCCAACGGCTGCAATTACACACGCACTTCTGCTACCGTACCCCACATCTCGGGGTTAATGCATTTTTAGCGCGATAAAAGCGTTTTAGCGTTTTCGTTCACTTCTATTCATCCTGTTTCGATTGTATTCATCCTATTTTGCTTTTATATTTTTATTTATTTTGTTGGAGCCGATTCTGTTCTGCTGAACCGCCGCCGAAACGCAGCGATTCGGCGAAAAGTCCTTGATGCGTATCGATACGCATCAAAACTGTGGGCTTTACTGCTTTTCTTGCTTTGCTCATTGCTTCCTAAAAAAAAAAAAAAAAAAAAAAAAAAAAAAAAAAAAAAAAAAAAAAAAAAAAAAAAAAAAAAAAAAAAAAAAAAAAAAAAAAAAAAAAAAAAAAAAAAAAAAAAAAAAAAAAAAAAAAAAAACAAAAGAAAAAAAATTTACTTTGCTGATTGCTATTGCTTTTTACCCAGCCGCCGAAACGCAGCGATTCGGCGAAAAGTTTTTGATGCGTATCGATACGCATCTATTGCTTTTTCCCCGGCCGCCGAAACGCAGCGGTTCTGCGGAATTTTTGTGATGCGTATCGATACGCATCACAAAAAAACCAAACGGCAAAAAAAGGGGGGGGGTCGTACCGAACCCCCAAAAAAAGGGGGGGGTCGTACAGGCTCGACCAAAATCCCCATCGAATGCTGTGCCCCTGTTGCAGCACTCACGGCTCTAGGCCGATGCTTGGGGTCGATAAGTCCAGCGAAAGAAACATGGAAGAGGGGGGCAGGAGGGCCATCGGAAGGGGACCGTTTGCAATGAGAGACAACTGTTGTACCTCAGTCTCCTACTGTGCTTTTATTGTGAATCATGAGAAAATTGGGATTGAAATGGATCCTTCAAAAGCATAACAAAACCACCATCATATTGAATTGAAATTCCTCCCAGAAGCTTCATATGCTGAGCGGTTTATGTAGCTCTAAATCAACACTTATCTACGACTTTTCCTGCTGTAGAGCATTCGCCTCTGGAGCCGAAGCAGCCAAGGCCCGAAGCAAGTTGGAGTGAAACTTGTGAAAAATGCAGCGCTCCTGGGGTCTACTGTCAGAGGTGCCCCTGCACTTGTTTGCGAGTTGGAGCACCTACGAAGATATTTTTTCAAATGACTCGGAAGTATAGTTTGCGAAGTAGAAGTAGTCCAAAACTGCCACTGATCGGTCTCTATAAAGAGCGGTAGCCCACGCGTTGGTTCGTAGCGTAAGCAGCTTCATCAGATCAATATTTCAAAAAAGAATCCCTTTCAAGCAGTGTAAGGAGATGAACTTCGTGGGCCTTCAGTTATACTCTGCTTCACTGCGGATAAAGAGAAGTGTCAAGTCAGTATGAGTGAGCCGCGGCGCCAGATCTGTTCTCTGCCACTTGTTGAAGCGCGCACGCGACAACAAATAGCACAAAGCGAATGATACGAAGGACATACTAAGCCTTGTCATATGCCCGATACAACAATTGCTGGAGAACGGGTTTGACACCGACTAACTCGTACCGCCTGACATGCCAATTCCCGCACATGACAAGACTATTGATGCGATCACTGAGTTCCCCACCACCGTGGTGCTCAGAATGAGCAATGACGACGTCATTTTTTGGCTGCAGGAAACCCAAAGAGTTGTTTGGGTGTGTTACCTTTTTCATGAGACAGACTGGTTTTCAACAATGATCTAAAAAATAAGATTTTTTTCCTTAATTAGAGTCCACTCGGGCTAGAAAGCCTCAATCGCAATTAGAAACCACCCAAAAAAAAACAATTGCGCTCATTCTTCAAGAGCCTTGACTCCATCATTTGGAGCAGAATACTTGCGCGAAGCGCAATTTCTCAACGGAAATGTCATTTTCACGCAGAATTCTGACCTTCGCTTTCATTTCACTTTTTGCTTTCTGATAGTCTGAATACTGCAATGATCATGTAGTATGCATCAACGGGAGTCGTGCAGACTCCCGATAGGTCAGGTCATCATAAATCCGCAAGCGGTACATCTAACTGTGGGGATGTGAAAAATGTCTTAGGAATTCTTTGTGATTCTTTTGTACTGTTTTACTCAAGTGGGTTTCCAAATCACTGCATTTTGACGGATGCTAATGGGTAAAGCAAAGTACCCAACAAGTTCCTGCATGTGCAACCCAGAAAAGTTGAAACTTTCAGAAAACAACATATTCAAAATAGGTTCTACTGCAGCATCTTAAGAAAAAAATCATAGAACACTTGACAAACCCCTCATTCATACTAAAAGTAGGGTTTGCAATCGCTAAAATGATCTAAGCAAAAGGCGAAAACGGAATAAGGATGGATGACGTGACTGGGAGACCGGCTACGCCGCCTTCAGCATCCAGTACCTTCATAACTACAAGATGTCAGAACTAACTGTCAGAACTAACTATAAGTGCTGATAAAAGGTGACGATGTGATAAGGTTTCAAATCAATGTTAACACTGGTTCTAGAACTGTTTCTATATCTCGGTCTTAGCTGGAGGGAGAGCGTCTACAGAATGAATAGTAGCAAGCGGCGGTACAGCAGCACGCAGACACTCGCATTCTACCGAAAAGGTAGGAATTGAACTTAATTGTCCTGGCCTAGTTACTTCTCCCTTGTCCAGAACGGTGAAACACTTCCGCTCAGAACATTTATTGGGTGAAAGCCGTCAACGTTAATTCTCACAAGCTTTTATAGGAACAGAAAATGATGCGTGTTGAAGTCATGGCAATAACATTTTTCTAATATTCGAGGCAATTTACAGCAGAAAGACAAAATATAGCTTGAGTCATTTAGCTATTAGTCGGTCAAGGTATTTCAAGATGAAAAGTGATTCATTTGAAAGGAGCTTTCAATTGATATGAGTCAGGAAAGGAATTTCTATATGAAAACATGTCCAAAGCTGATTCTATTTCTGTAGAGATACAGAAAGACTCCCAACGGCAAGCAAAAGTTCAATTCGACTTATGATGGCGCGTTCTCGAGCAGATTTTCAAAAGAAGGGTCACTATTATAAAGATAGGGAGAAGAATAAAAAATATTTCCCATACACTGAAGAAAGAGGCTACACCTTTCGCAGCCGTTACAATCGTGTCCTTAAACGTGACAAAGATATCATTCGCAAAGGATAGATCACTTTCCACTTCTCTTTGGACGTTCGTGATGCTGACATCTGAAGAGATGGCCCTTTCGTTGACGAAAGCCAGCGATCCTTTGATCGTGAAGTTCACGGTCCCTCCGGGGCAGACGGCGATGCAGTTGGTAGTGACTGATGGAGTGTCGAACATGAAAGAAGATTGTGTTGAGATAGCCGGACTCTGTGCATCTGATTTCGATGATGCATCGATGATGACAATTAGGATTTTTCTTGGCCCGGGAATAAGCACGGTGTCGGAATACGGGGCCAGAACCACATCAAACTGAGACTCGTCGGTGTACTTGAGCTCCTTTGCTTTCGACTGGTCGATCAGCCCCATGTTCAGTCTCCCAATGGTGATGTATTTTGAGAGCCCTTGCCATACCCTCGTGTCCAGAAAGCTCATAACGTACAGCCAAAAAGCACTGTCGTCA